AAATTTCGTGCTATAATGAGGCACATTTTAAAAATCTTACGTCCTGAAAAAAAAAATCATTAATTTTTAAGTATAATTTGAAATTCCATGTCATTCTCTTAACCAGAATCCTATAAGACACATCAAATTTATCTGTTGTCATTATTAAATATGTGATAAATAGAAATATAAATCTGAAAATTTGCTACCGGCTCTATTATTACCAAGTCTAGAGCTTAAGTAGCTAAGCAAAACAAATCACTTTTCCATTCAGAAATAATATTAATGTGAAATTCTTTCATAATACTAGTGCTGGGGAGCAGACCTAGTACCCACCTTAGGGAGAATGTTGGAGTAGCTCTTTAAATAGTATTTAGTTGTCTTAGAGGGACATGATACTTGTGTTGGGAGTTAGTCAACTTAAGTAAGGAGATAGTAAAAGAACACCAGGGTGTCCTTGATTAATTCAAGTCACCTTCCCTAGATGAACTACAATCTGGAGTCCTGAAAGAACTGGCAGATGTCATTGCTGAACTATTTTAAAGATAATGGAAAACAGGAGAGGGACCACAAGATTTAGAAAAGGCAAATGCCCCAATTTTCAAAAAAGGGAAGAGAACAAAATCTGTAAACTGTGGGCTTTACTTTACTTCTTGGGAGGAGTTGAGAATGGATCATTTGGCCACCATGCGGGCCACCATGCAGAGGGTTGCCAAACATCTAGAAAAGAAAGTATCGATAACAGAGAGCCTGCATAGATAGCTTCATCAAGAACAGACCATGCCAAACTTTTTGGGTAGGGTCGCTCAACTAGTAGATGAGGGGAATGCTGGAAAAGAGAGAGATGGCTCGAGGCCACGGGTTCCCCGCCCCTGGCTTAGGTGATAATGCTCTCAGGTGGGTGTTCTGACAGGTGCATGTTCTGACTGGAAGGCTCGTTGTTAATGGATTGGTTTCAACCTGGCAGCAGGTCCTCAGTGGAATGCCCCAGGGGTATGTGCTTGATCCCATGCTATTTTTTATCACGGACTTATTTAAAAGCATCAATGGGATGACAAGGCTAGAGGATTGGGCTGAATTTAATAGATTAAATACAGTAGCAATAAATGTAAAGTCTTGCACTTGGGCACATAAAGAATCAGCTTCGTATACCTACAATGAGGAAGTCATGGATAGACAGCAGGAATTCAGGACGTCTGGGAGTTAGAGGACCGTAGGCTCAATAGGAGTCACCTGTGTGATGTGGTATTCAAAAAAAGTTGATGGGACCTTGGGCTACAAAGAAAGGGGCTTAGCTTCCGGGAGTAGAAATGTGATCATCCTTCCCCCTGTTTTCTGCCCTCATTAGACCAGCCTCCTGGAACGTATTAATTATGCTTAGTTCTGGGTGTCATAATTTAAGAAGGACCTTGGCAGACTGGAAAGTGCAAAGGAGCAGAAAGGATGGTGAAAAGTCTTGAGTCAGTGGTAGATGAGGATCATTTGTAGCAGCTAGGCATGTTAGTTTAGAGAACAAAAGATTCAAGGGGGAAGGCTGTAGCTCTCTTTAAATATTGGAAGGATTGTTGCACTTCTTCTGTTTTGGCCCCATGAGACAGAACCAGCAGCAACAGTGGGGGAAGTTGCAAAGAGTAGTCTTTAGTCTTAATGTCAGGAAAAAAACCCTAACAGTTGGAGCCACCCAGAAGGGGAATGAGCTTCCTTCGGCGGTGGTGGCTTCCTCCTCCTTGGAGATGTTGGAGCACAGGCTGGATGTCACTTGTGGGGCATGTCATGTTGGGCACTCCCTCTTAGGGGTTGGGCGCAATGGGCACTAAGGTCTCTTCAGGCTCTCAAACTCCCTTATTTTTTCCTTGCCCAAACTTGAGTAGTAATGAGCCAGTGTAGGGCTTGTAGCCAGATGACCAAGTCAGAAGACATTCTTCTAATGTCAGTTCCATCCCCTCAGAATATCAAGAAAAGAGTCCAGTGGAGTAAGAATAGGAAAGAGATTACCACCAGAAAGACTGAGAAAAAAGAACAAAGAAGCCTCAAAAAGAGGCCCTGATACGATTAAATCAAGTGCTAGGGAGTAAGAAGAAAAGGTCTTAAATCCACCAAGGAGAGGTGAAGTGCAGTTCTAACTGCTGCAGAATGCTCAGGAGTTATAATGGAAAACTTCAGTAACCTCCAAAATGCTTCAGAGGAACAGTAAGATAAAGGAAAAATGACAGAAATTAGAGCCCTGAAAGAAGAAATCGGGAGGAAAAACGAGAGAATAGTTAACTAGAGCTGAGGAAAATGGAGACTCCCTCCTGCGGCAAATTTTCTGAAAGATAATGGCTGCTTTGGAACTACAGATGCGGAGAGTGAAACAGTTGATTGTCGGAACAAATCAGAAGACAAGATCAGGAGATCATAGGGACTGTGTTGAAGTTAGACTACACAGAGCTTATGTAGGAGTGAGTCATTGGTCTTCAGGAAGAATGTGAAATAAAAAAAGCCTGATTGCTGTACTTCAGGAACTCTTGTGAGAAAATTGTCGAGAACTATTGGAAGCCAGGCAAAGTACAGCTTGGTAGAGTTCATTGTATTTAAAAAACTAGAAACCCAAGTTTAACCCACCCAGTTATGTTGTGATTAAGCACCAGAACTTCATCGTTAAATGAAGCCCTTAAGATTTCAAGGGAAAACAGTCCCAGTAATCTATTTTTCTTTCTTAAGAACTGAAAGGAAAAGTGATAATATGGTATTCCAGAAAGCAAATTAAATACTTTTTGAACCCCAAAATAATATCCTACAAATCTGAGCATCAGTAGAAGTCTTTCAATGAAAAAAGACAGAACTTTCCGCTAATAGTGAATAAGAAAATAAATTCCAACAGATTGCTGCAGCACTAGACAAGAAACACTAAAACATAAAGACACATACAAAATTAATATGTGGGACTGGAACAAAATGTATTGTGCTTCATGTGATTTTTAAAAATGGAATTAAAAAATTATGATTTTGAATAAAGCAACAGCAGAAAATTGATGTCAAAGAGAGATAAGCAAGAAAACCACATTATGCTAAAGGTGCCATAGAAATGAAACAATATCAAGATTAAATATATTTACCAAATTAAACCTGTGCACCTCTGACATATGCTGGCTGTGTGAACGTGAGCATAGTATTAAATAACATATATAAATGGCATCTAAGTATTTACTAGAAAAGCTCATGAAAATGTGAAAAAGAAAGAGTAAGATAATATTGGTAGATGACCTTAATGCTTGCCTTTCAGAACTGGATAAACCAGAGAGAAAGATCATGAAGAAGAGAATGAAAAGATCTCAACAAATTTAAGGGAAAATTAGATTTGAAAAACATGAGATTTATTGATAACTTTTGTTTTGTACCACAATCATTTCCTGATATACAGCTTCCTCCCCCCCTCTAATAGAATCCTCTCTCGTAACAAAAAGAATTAAGTGAAACTCACAGGCATAAGCATTTATTAAGGACTTACTGTATACCTGGTGCTATGCTGAGCACTGGTGGTACAAATACAAGCAAAAACACACTTCCCCGTCCCTAGGAGCCTACATTGTAATAGAGATGGACAACACATAACAAGGAGTTGGAAAGTGGTTGGGGGTTGGAGGGAGCATGGTGTCCCAGTCTGGAATGTCAGGAAGCACAACTGGGAAGGGAAGGGAGGCCGGCCAGTCTGGACTCTTCCTGACTCCAGACCGAGTCTCTATCTGTTGGGGTGCTTGGGTGCTTATGTTGGGGTGCTTGTCCTTGGGCCCCAATTTCTCCCTAGCCTCAGAAACACTGTCCCTTGATAATCATTTAAGATCAGTTGAGCCCCAATAAGGACCAAAAAACCTAAATTAATCTTTCTCTCTGAGTGAACTAAAAACACCCCTTCGTGTGTCAGCAAATTCCAGGACCAGACAGAGCTGATCGTTGTTCTTGCTGTTTGTTGTCACTAGGCCCAGGATGTCTAGGACTTTTCTTATCTTGAGTTTCAATTGAGAACTGACCACTCCTTAACCACTCCCTGATCCCACCCTGAATCCCCTAGTTAGCATATTTGACATATGTTTTATTGTATTTTATCCTATATAAACTTTACCTGTACCTCTCTAAGGTTGCAGGACCCTTTAAGAATCCTTGCCTGCTGAAAAGCGTAATAATAAATCTTTGCCACCTTGAATTAAAGAATACTTGAGTCTGTGAATTCATTCCAGACGGCCGGCCCTGTACTCCGGTCTTTGAGGAGTCATAATCTCTCAGCCTCTCAGCCCGCAACATATCCGTGACACCATTCCTTAAAGTAGAAGTAGTATTCCCATTTTACAGATAGGAAAGCTGAGACTCAGGCTGGACCTGTGATTCCACAGGTTTAGGGAACTTGCTGAGAGGGAGTCTCTCTGTCAATGCAGGTGGTACCTTGTCTGCAGAATTGGAGAATCTGAAAAGGGTCTGCAAACTAAGGTGGTGGGTCATCTCTGGCCCTTGGTAACCTGCCCCACCCCACCTCAAGTGGTTTTTACACTTTAAATTTTAAATAAAGTTTTATTGCATTTAAAAGCCATTCTTAGTTCTGGGCAGTACAAATCTGGGCGGTACAAAAGCTGACAGCAGCTGGATTTTGCCCTTGGGCTTTCCTGACCTTTTACAGCTCAGAGAGGTTAAAAGGTCCTGTCACTTGTCTGGGTGATACCGCTAGCGTCTGAGACTTCTTGATTTGAACTCAGGTCTTTCTGACACCAGGCCCAGCACTCTGGCCACTGCACCATCCAGCCGCCCGAGGTGAAGTGGCTTGTTCCAGATCCCACAGCCGGTGTGTGTCAGAAGCAGCACCTGAACCTAGGTCTGCCCGGCTTTGAGGCTGGCTTTCTTTCCTCTATGCCATGCTGAGTGTCAGAGCTCAAGGAATTACTGAGAAAATGGGAAATCGTATAAAAATATGACATCACTATAGTAATTTACACTAAACACTTATCAAACATTCCTAGATGGGCTCACCCTTCCTGGTGATTGCATTTCAGGGCAACAGGGGGACCTTCAGGCAGGAGTGGACATCGAATGGTGCGTTGGAAGAGACAGTTGGTCATCTTTGGTGGGTTCCACGAGAGTACAAGGTTGGTATTAATGGTTGAGAACTAATTCTATGAAATACTGTTTTCTCCTGGTTTCACTCTATGGTGAACCAATATTATTTGCTGGCCCTTTCCTCCCAAACTCTCTGTTCTGTTCTTTATTTTGAAGGAAGATAGTCTCTTTTTTTTTTTTAAAGGCAGTTGGGGTTAAGTGACTTGCCCAGGGTCACACAGCTAGTAAGTGTTATGTATTTGGTTTGAGGCTGTATTTGAACTCAGGTCCTCCTGACTCCAGGGCCGGTGCTCTATCCACTTGCGCCACCTAGCTGCCCCGAACATGGTTTCTTTTGATGGAGCAGTGAGGGCCTCACTAGACATTATGGGAAGAAGCATTTTGAGCTAGCAGAGCAAACCTCAGAGGTAGCAGGGACCCCAGAGGTCAGCTAGCTCAGGTCCTCCCAGGAGAAAGTCCTTTTGTAGCATCCTAACAGGTTGTTGTCTGAATGCCACTGGAAGACTTCCCACAGGGGGGATCTCCTGTTGAGTGAGACATCAAGATTCTCACAGGAATCTTTTTTTCTAGTGATGCCTTAAGGGAAACATATCAAGCTTAATTTTCATTATCGACATTGAGCATGCTAAAGACAGGGATTTAGAAGACATCTGTAAGTCACATGGTTCAGTGATTCACTGTAGTCTGAGATCGGCACATGGTTTAGCCCCGTGGGTAGAGAGGAATTCTGGGGCGGCTCTTCTGTCTGCCGGAGCATTGCCTCCATTTTTGTCAGTCAGTCAGCAAGCACTGATGGGCTTCTTGTATTCTGGGTGCCGTGGCACCCAAGAGGTTGTGTCATTTAGAAATCCTTGAATTTCTTTGTTTGGCCTTTTAGATATCTATCCACTTGATGTGAGAATGTAGATGTGGCAATTAAGTAATTAAATAGTTAGGAAGTTAAAGAAATCTCTTGAAAATTTTAATTCAAAGGTGTTAACGGTCAACTTTTAACTTCCACGTGTTAAAAATGGTTAACTTTTTAGCATACGCTTGGAAAAAAGTGATAGAATCTGAAAGTTTTTGAAAATGGTCTTTTTTTTTTTAATGGTCTTTTCTTGAGTGGCCTCTCATAGAGTGCCCTTCTGGCATTCCATATGAAGTGTGTCTTCTTTATTGAGACAAGGAGGATGGCGCAGGAAGAAGCACCGTGGATTTGGAGCTCCAAGGCTGGCTCGTGGCTCACTAGCCATGGGACTTGAGGCAGGTTACTTCACTTAGGTCTCAGTTTTCTTGTCTCCAGAAGTCAAACAGCAAATCGGCAAGCATTTATTAAGCACTTGCTGTGTGCCAGGCACTGTGCTAAGTGCTAGGGATAGAAAGGCAGAACTAGTCCCTGCTTTCAGGAGCTCACAGTCTACTGGGGGAAACACATGCAAACAATTATATAAAATCTATACAGAAGATGTTCAGGGTAAGTGGGGGACAGTCTCAGAGGGAAAGCATAGCCTGGGTGGAGGGGCCTGGGGCAGGCCTCTAGAAGAGCTGGGATCTGAGCTGAATTGTGAAGGAATTGGGAATCCATGAGGCTGAGATGAGCAGAGAGAGCGTGGCACACCAGGGGGATGGCCAGAGAGCAGGCATGGGGTCAGGAGAGGCAGCGCTGAAGACCAGGAGCGTCGAGGAAGCCGGGTCACCAGATCACGGGTCATGCCTAGGGTAGAAAAGGTAAGGAGCTTGGAAGGGGAGGCAGGGGCCTTCGGTGAAGGCTTACCTCCCAGGAGAGGAGGGCAGGGCTTCAGGGTCCACAAGGGTGAGCTCTCCTCTTCACTATGTGGGAGGGACGGTTCTTTACCAAGAGGTTGTGGAGCTCCCGGCGTGTGGGGCTGTGGTTCACATCATGCCTGACACCTTTTCTCAGAGAGACAGAATTCAAAGATCACTGCAGAAATACCCCTCAGTTGTTTATGAAGCACCTCCTGTGTGCCAGGCTCTGTGCTTGGTGCTGGGGCACAGATACAAAGCATGAAACTACCATTCTGTCGGGGGACACAATATATATGTATAGAAATCTGTAGGAGGGAAACAAGCATTTATTAGGCACCTAAAGTGCTAAGCACTGGCCAATGGTTATCTCATCAGATCCTCCCAGCAACGCTGGGAGGTAGATGCTGGTGTGATCCCCATTTTTTATATGTTATTTCCCTCCATCAGCGGGGGGCTCCTTGAGGGAAGGGACTGTCTTTAGCCTTTGTATCCCAGCTCTTAGCCCAGGGCCTGGCACATACTAGGTGCTTAATAAATGTTTATTACTGACCAAAAATAAATCCAGGCTAGTTTGGGAGGGCACTAGTAGTAGGGGCAGGGGGGATAAGGAAGAGTTTTATGTAGAAGATGATGTCCCAGCTGAGTCTTGAAGAAACTCTGTAAGGTAAAGAGGGGTGTGTTCCATCTCTCGGGCCCAGCCAAGGATGACAGAGCACCACATCTAAGACACCGCAAGGAGGGCAGGAAGGGGAAGTGTGTGAGGCTGGAAAGGTGGGTTGGGGCCAGACTGCGAAGAGCCATCACCGTCAAACAGATGAGCTTCCGTTTAGCCATAGGGTCCAGAAGGAGTTGCTCCAGCTAATTGAGGAGTAGGGTCCCCATCTGCACTTGGGGAAAAGCTCTTTGTCAGGTGTGTGCAGGAGGGACGGGAGTGGGAAGAGACTTAAGGTGGGGAGATAAATCAGAAGGCCTCAGCAGTAGTCGAAGCATGAGGCCAGATGGCAGCCTTTCTCCTGCTCCCCCGTGGGGGCCCTGCTTACTGCTCAGCCAAACGTGTTCTGGAAAAAACCAGGGCTTCCCGTGTTCCCCGGTGCATTCTTGGAACTGGCCCTTCTTCTTTAGCTCCCGATGGCCTGCTCCTTTCCTTCAGGTTGAGTTCTTTCTTTCTATTTCTTTCCTTCTTTCCTTCTTTCTTTCTTTCTTTCTTTCTTTCTTTCTTTCTTTCTTTCTTTCTTTCTTTCTTTCTTTCTTTCTTTCTTTCTTTCTTTCTCTCTCTCTCTCTCTCTCTCTCTTTCTCTCCCTCCCTCTCTTTCTCCCTCTCCCTCTCTTTCTCTCTCTTTCTCTTTCTCTCTCTCTCTTTCTCTCTTTCTCTCTCTTTCTCTTTATCTCTCTCTCTCTCTCTTTCTCATTTTTGTTAGCCAGTGGGGTTAAGTGAGTTGCCCAGGGTCACACAGCTAGTCAGTGTCAAGCATCCAAGACTGGATTTGAACTCAGGTCCTCCTGACTCCAGGGCTGGTGCTCTATCCACTGTGCCACCTAGCTGCCCCCTGTTGGGTTCTTTCTTTAACTCTTGCCATGTGGGAGCTTGTTCAGAGGCTCTGCTCCTAAGGGAGGCCGGCGGCTTCTTCAGTGGCTTCATCTGACAGTCGAACTCAGCCGTTGAATTCTTTAGTGAAAGGCTACTCGAGCCTTAGCCTTTGCTTCTTCCCTCATCCCTCTAGCACAAGGAGTGCCGTCATCACCTAGTTGCAAAAAGCTTTTTTCTGGATGATACTGACAACACATGTGACTTGTGTGACACTGCACGTGCTGGTCTAATGTAGTTATTGGTAAGTTACTGTTCTGAAAACCGTGGGAGAAACAGGACATTGTTGTGAGGGAAAGCAGAGTGAGTACTTTAGTGTTAAACCTGTTATGCATTGATGCATTTTCCCCCCACAGTCACTCCATGTGTTTCGTGTATCAAGAGTACAATTAAGGCTTTCAGCTTGACTCTTTGAAAATGAAACTAGACCATTCTTAAGTTTGTTTTAAAGATAGCTAATTCTTGACCTTAACTGGTTACTTTTCTGCTATCTCTTTGTAAATTGTTTAGTGGCTTGTGTTTCCTTTATTTTAACCAGGGATTACATCTATTACAATGATGTGTATGCCTTTAGTCTGGACACGTATACATGGAGCAAGCTCTGTCCGTCAGGGACGGGTCCCACTCCGAGATCTGGCTTTCAGATGTCTGTCTCCTCCGAGGGCACCATCATCATCTACGGTGGCTACTCCAAACAGGTAGGAGGTCTCGTGCAGAAGAGCCGACACCATTGTTTTCACTGTCCTCACTGTAAGGAAAGGCATCTTGAAGGACTTGGCAAATAGTTTTTTTTTTTTAAGTATTTCTTGTTTACTTCTGAGATCGGTACTAGACATGGATAAAAGCAGATTCGCTGTATGGCCCTCTATGGCAGGATGAGTTCTTGTGGGAGAAAAGCCGCATGCAGGCACACTGCTGTTCCGAGCCTCCCTGTGACCACCAGAATGCACAGCCAGAGATCGAGAGTGGAAGGGACTTCTGAGGGCTTCTAGTCTAACCTCTCAGCTTACAGATGGGGAAACTGAGGCATAGGGAGTTTAGGGGACTTCTGGTAACCCAGCGAGCAGCGCGGGCCGGGGCTGAAGCCAGGTCATCTGCCCCCAGAGTTCTTTCCATGGTTTCTTCTCCTTCCAGTAATGAAGAAGGGGATTCTACTCTTGAAAACTTCTTATTTCTGAAGATCAGCCTCAGTACTGATGACATCAAATAGTTATTTGTAGTGTAGTAGAAATAAACTACCCTGTGGGTCCGGGATACTTGGATCTGAAACCCTGGTGTTTTAAAGCAGCCCATGGCGCAGTGGACAGAGCACTGCTGGACTTGGAGGCAGGAAGATCTGAATTCAAATCCTGCCCCAGACAATGACTGGCTGTCTGACCCTGGGCGAGTGGCTCCACCTCTGTTTGTCTCTGTTTTGTCCTCTGCAGAATGAGATGGTGATAGCACCTCCCCTTGGGGTTGTCTTGAGAATAAATTTGAAAAACACTTTGCAAACCTTGGAGGGCCGTGATTGTGATTATCATTAAGAGTACAAGCTGATGTTCTGAAGTTATCAAGTCTTCTGTCTTTGGAGGCTTTTTAATTGAAGGGCAGACATCTTTCTGGCATTGTCAGGGTTGGGTTGGGGTGGAAATAAACCTCCAGAGACTTTTAATTGTAGGGGCTTGTCATATATAATCCCACAGTTACAGAACCTCCTAAGGTGAAAAGGACCTCTGAGGTTAATTAATCTGCCCCACACCTGAACACCATCACTTCTCTGCATCCTCAGCCAGGGCTCGTCCACTCTACATTTGAAAACCTCCAGGGAAGGGGAGCCCATCCCCTTTTTAGTAGCTCTCATTGTGGGAAAGCTTTTGCTTTTGCTACACTGAAATCTGCCTGTCGGCAGCTTCTGGCCTCGCTCCTCTAGGACTGAGCAAAACGGGGCTTGTTTCTTTTCTCCAGAGCAGTCCTGAAAATACTTGAAGACATTGCCTCCTAAATCTTGTCTTCTCTACTTCCCCAGTTCCTTAAACTGATGGTGCTGGTGACCCATTGTATGTTGTCCTCTTCCCTTCCTTTTTCTGAACCAGGTCTTGCCCATGTATTTGTCTCCTTCCTCACCTTTCTCCACCTTTGCATTGAAATTAAATCTGTGTCACAGTGCAGAGTGATTTAATGTGGAGGACCTCGAGTTCTTTGTAGAATTTCTCTGCTTTATCTTCGGCGGCATCCTCAGTGTTGGTACTAAGCTGCAGTTATTTTCATGGTGGTCTTTTCGCAAATACGTATCATTAAGACTGCAGTATGTGATGACCAGATATCTCATGAACAAAGGTCTCCTTTCCCTTGTGAGCGTGTTCTCAAACCCGCCCAGCCAGCTCCACTCTTTATCAGGACCCCTGCCTGGGGTCCCTGTGAGCCGGCCCTTTAGCTGCAGTGTTCTTCTTTCTTCTGCTTTGGTTATTTAGCAAGAAAGCCCAAACTGACATAGGTCCCCCCTTCCAGCAGCTACGTCCCTTGGGTGGCAGCTGTACAGTGATCTCACATTTAGAGTACTAGTATTCAAATGAAAGTTTATTAGGTTTCTAAAAATTTGTGTTAATGATGCAGCTGGGCTGGTCCTCAGAGAGCAGAATTGGTCTGTTACTGGGATCTTATTGAGTAGGTGGTCCTAGGGAGGTGCACCCTTAACACTTGTCTAGCATATTTCAGTATATAAAAAAACAGTTAAAATAAATTTCTGTCACGTTTTGGAAATCTGCACTAAAAAGGCTGTACCTGAATCATAAATGTATTGCTCTTTATTTTCCAATTCTGTTCCGATAACCAGACACAGAACGTAAACAGACGGTGCTCACAACATATGTTCACTGAGCACAACAAAGAAAACACACCAGAAAAGTTCTCTCTCTGTCTTCCAGGAGACATAGGGAAGCAGTTGGCTTTTCTGCTGGGGTTGAAGGGGTTAAACTTACGTCAGAGGGTTCTCTCTTGCTTGCAGACCTTGCCTGTCCTCCTTCCCCACCCAGGGCCTCGCTCTGATGTTGCTCAGGGTTACCTTGTCTTCCGCCATGGGCGGCACTTTCTCTAGGACCACCCACAGTTTTTGTGTCACTTGATGACATTAGCTAGCATCTCCCCAGTTGAAGAGCTAGAAGAGAACATTCTCTTCCCTGATGTCTTTGGCATCATCATGACATAAATGATTTTAAAGAAGCTGTCTCTGCAGCCTGAGAGCCATTGAACTTTTCCGTCTGACTTGCAGCTGAAACCTCTTCTCCGCTGGCTTCCCCTGTTAGAGTATGTGCTCCTTGAGGGCAGGCACTGTCTCGCTCTTCTGTTCATGTCCCCAGCTTTCAGCACATGCTTTGCACGCGCCTAATAAATGCTTTTTCATTCGGTCTCTGGAAGGCCAAGGGTCAAATCCTTGCCCTCCCCTTCTGCTTGCTTGAATGAATGAATAAAAAGCGTTTGTTAAGCACTTACTATGTGTCAAGCACTTTGCTGAGCACTGGAGATCCAAATAGAAAAGATAAGATCATTCTCCTTCTCAACAGCTGCCACATCCTAACTGGGGGACCCACAGAGAGTTGTGCTGCAGGATGGATAGGAAGGCTCAGGAAGCGTAAGGTAGAAGAAATAGGGCCAATGGCAAGGCGCTGGTGTTCCCAGTTTACATTAGCAGGTCAGACCTGTGGGGATAGATATCTGCAGGGCAGGGAAGGCCTAGGGGCACTCCATCCCCCTTGAAAGAACAGTCAGTGTCTCCCTTCTCAGTCAGGGTGGGCAGCCTCTGGGCAGCCTAGGCAGGAGAAGGGGCCAGTATGTGCCAGTGGTGAGGGAAAGACGCAGGGCGCAAGGGGAGAAGAGCTCCCAGGGTGTCTTTAGCTTGAGCCAAGGAGTCATTCTCACTATCTTTTTTTTTTTTTTGGCAGTTGGGGTTAAGTGACTTGCCCAGGGTCACACAGCTAGTGTCAAGTGTTTGGTCTGAGGCTGGATTTGAACTCAGGTCCTCCTGACTTCAGAGCCAGTGCTCTATCCACTGCGCCACCTAGCTGCCCCTTTCATTTTCATTGTCTTAGTAATTATGCGCAGTTATCACAGCTAATAGCTGTCCTAAGCCACTGGGGTGGTGTCAGTGATGATGTGGCACAAGGAAGGGGGTAATGATAATAATAGCTAGCATTTATGTAGCGCTTGCTGTGTGCTAGCTGCTGAGCTAAGCTCTTTACAAATATTATCTCATTTGATCCCCACAACAACCCTTAGAGATAGGTGCTGTTATTATCCCTATTTTACAGATGAGAAAATTGAGGCCAGCAGAGGTTAAGTGACTTGCCCGGGATTACTCAGTTAGTAAGTGACTGAGGCTAGACTTGTCAGGTCTTCTTGACTCTGGGTCTAGTGCAGTGTCCACTGTGATACCAGCTGCCCCGAGGCAACCTAGCAGACTAAGTTGACTTAGCTTGTTATAATTCAGTTGTCCAGCAGGACACAAATGTGTGTCCTTTCACCAAGGTCTTTCCTTATTACCTTTGTTCTCTGTGGAGATGATGCTGAGAGGGTCTCCAAAGCGGCTGACACAAAATGAAGCATTGACCGAGTTTGAGCTGCCTCATTGAAGGATGCCAAGGACCTCATTACCTCTTTAGCGTCCTCTTTTGTACATGAAACCAGAAACCTGGACACTCCAGTGGTCCACGTGGCAAGAACTCTTCGCCGTTGGCATCTCCCAACTCCCCATGGCTTGTCATCCTGTATGCTAAGGGACTTCCATTTTGAAATCCTGATAGCTCTCCACAACCTGCAGCTTCCGCGTGGAATGTGTTTGCATAGGCCCACATAGCCCACCACTCAGTGCCACACTTAAAGCCATTCCAGTTCAGTAGAACCTATCAGAGCTTGCACTCTGTGGGCAGAGCCTTGGAGAAGCCACCATCACGGCCACAGCGTGCCCTGCCGAGGCCTTGGAGAGGGGCTCCTTGGAGATCTAAGGGCTGTTGCGGCTATGATCCTATGGGTTCTATGTGCAGTGGGGGCTGCGAGGATGTAAGATTCTTGCCCTCCAGGAAATGAGCAGATGCTCATGGGCAGACAAGACTCGTGCACATGGCAGCATGTCATAAGTGCCCAAGAAGAGAACAGACGGGAACCGTCCAGAGGAAGGAGAAATCGTCATGGGCTGCCATTGTAAGAGAAGGTGGGGCTTAAACCTGGGCCTTAAAGCATCGCTGGCATCCCAGGAAGGGGGGTGGCATGAGCCAAGGCGAGGAGGCAGAAATGCATCAGGAACATTCCAGGAGTACACAGTGAGTGCGTGTTGCTCTGAGATGCTTTATCACATCATGGTCCATCGAAAGGCAGTTTTCTAGATGTTGAGTGAGCTCTTTTTCTCTCCAGAAGAAGCAAGCATTAGAACTGCAGATGGACCTGTTTGACATTTGTATGTAATTATAATCTTGAATTAATGAGGATAAATATGTAGCAAAATATACGCTAATTCTGCAGGTGGTGTAAGAAGTTAAAGCAAGAGCCGTAATAATAATAGAGCTCAGGAATACCTTTGGTGGGTGCCAGGCTTCCTTGCTTTCCCTCACTTTGTGCTGGGCAGCCCTTTGGGCCAAATGGTGGGTGGCCCCAGTTTCCCTGTCTCCCGTCGGCGTCATGTGCTCAGCAGCATTAGGCTGATGGCCCCTGGGAGGGCTTCCAATGT